AGAAAGGCGGGGCATAGAGGAGAAACAATAATGTACAGTATGTGGAAAATAATGTGTTTTTTTTACTTTAAACCGCATAAACACATTTCATTACACCAAATACACAAAATAATGTTCTTTTTAGCAACATCATATGACCCCTTTAAGAGATCATGTGTGTAATTTTACAAAGCTATGAGAATACTTTTAGTGCGCAAAGAAAACTAAAATTACTACTTTATTCAACCATTGTTCACATGAAGCGGAAGCAAGCGCATATGCATCGTGATACTCTCCACAATAGCGGCCACCGCTGCAGATGGGATGAGGAGGAGAAGAATTGTTGAATAAAGTCATTATTTTTGTTTTCTTTGTGCACAAAAAGTATTATCGTAGCTTTGTAAAATTACGGTTGAACCACTGATGTCACATGGACTATTTTACCGATATCCTTGCTACGTTTCTGGACCTTGATCGTGGTAGCAACCTTTCTGTCTATGGAGGGTCTGAGAGCTCAATACCGCGCATCTCGATACTTACGTAAAGGGAAGGAGAAAGATCGTTCAGTCTCCAATCAATCACATAAATGATGAATATGATGTTGAGCGCGAGGGTTAGCCGGATGACGTTGGCAAACCATTGGCTATTGGTGATGGTAGAAATAATGTTTCTTATCCTACAAAAAAGAAATGTGTGATCAGTGGTGAAGTGCAGTGACAGCTAGGGATGCTCATTTTAACCGTTTAACCGGTTAACCGACGGTAAGAATTTTGACCGATTAATACAATCAGTTTAAACGGTTTAAAAAGTCATTTAATCATTTATTTTTTCAGTAATTTATCAAAATATTTAAAAAGGTTTGCTGCATGGTTAAAATACGTTACGCGTATAAAAAAAATCTGTTTTTTGGGGGGGAAAAAAACAAGTCGCATTTTATTATTTCATTCAGAAATAGACCTAATGACGATGCGAAATGTTTACAAACATTATAATAAACACTGTAAACATAGCTAGTGTTAGTTCCCCTCACTCCACAACAAATCCTTTCAAAACGGTATTTAGAAAATAATAAAAGAATTAAAAATATAAGAAGCTATAGCAATATAAATGACAAGCCAAAACGAATATTTGAATGGCAAATTATTATTTATTATGTAGCCTACTTTACTCGCGTTCCAATAGGCCTATCCACCTAAAACAAAATGTTTTACATCACGGCGGTACTGTGATAACAACGGCTTAACAGATTTTACTACATAGTTTTTTCCATATGTTTGACTGACTGTATTTTATGATGATAATGAACAGGCTGCATTGTCACGGTAGCAAAGCTTAACGGCGCAATCACTTGAGTTTTTTCCTTCTAACAGAAACTACTCCTTTTAGTCATAAAGATAACCGGAATTGTAAAAGGTTTGCCTTTATTTGTGTACATTCACAATAAAAACAAATCTTTGTGCTTTTGTAAAATAAGCCTAAAGAAAAATAGGATGCAGCTTTCTGTCTGTTTCCTTTCGCGCAGCACATAAATAAACCGAAACTCTGCATACTGGGCTACTTGTTTTTCTTACATTTTCTTAATTTATAATTTAAGTAAAAATATGTTTCTCGTATAGGCCTATTTATTCGCTATATATAGGCTATATATATATATATATATAGCCTAGCTTTATTATGTTTTTTACATAGGTTTTTTTCCATATGTTTGACTGACTGTATTTTATTATGATAATGAACAGGCTGCATTGTCACGGTAGCAAAGCTTAACGGCGCAATCACTTGAGTTTTTTCCTTCTAACAGAAACTACTCCTTTTAGTCATAAAGATAACCGGAATTGTAAAAGGTTTGCCTTTATTTGTGTACATTCACAATAAAAACAAATCTTTGTGCTTTTGTAAAATAAGCCTAAAGAAAAATAGGATGCAGCTTTCTGTCTGTTTCCTTTGGCGCAGCACATAAATAAACCGAAACTCTGCATACTGGGCTACTTGTTTTTCTTACATTTTCTTAATTTATAATTTAAGTAAAAATATGTTTCTCGTATAGGCCCATTTATTCGCTATATATAGGCTATATATATATATATACATATAGCCTATAGCTTTATTATGTTTTTCTCCGCTGGCAGAAGCGCTGCAGGTGCATGATGTGATTATATGAGCAGCGATTTTCCGATTAACCAACAAATGAAAAGCAGTCCGCTGGTTCGTGAACTAAGCGTATGATTCCCGTGAATCTGCTCCACACAGACCGTCTCCTCCACAGAACTGCTGTTCCTCCGTTCTTTCAGACTTCAGCTATTACTTTGCCGATTTATTCAGCAATTCACAATCGCGTTTCGTTCATGTTAAACCGAGTAAAACACAAGGGAATCATATAATAGTTTGATCAAACAAATGCTCCGTGTGTTCTTTACACACAGCTAACTGTAAAAGCACATAAACTATTAATTAATATTAAAATGCCATACCGAGCGACTCTGCGCTCCATCTTCATTCAGTCAGAGTAACGGACAAGCTGACGGTTTCTTTTCAAACGTGCATCTTTGGCGTCGTCATGGATACCGCGTGCATTTTAGCCAATCAAAAGCTTTGGACTGCATTGGCTGGATCAGCCATAAATAAGCATTTTTTAAAGATATTTGAGTACAAACGGGACAGTTCATGTCCATAAATGTTACTGGTTTGAAATATATTATTTAAATGAGAGTGTTGCAAGCCTTTGTGAGATTTCTGGATTTCCTTGTTCAAGTAAATAAGACTGACTGGCTAAAACAGCTGCCTTTTGCGTAAAAGGTTAAGACTAGTCTTAAAAGTTAGTCAGTTATTCTTTTTTCTTTAAGACTGGCTATACAATTTTTTTTAATTCAGTTACATAAAAATTAAGATTAGTCTAAGTTGAATCCAAAAAATAAGACTTATTACCCCTTGGCAAACTGCTAGTTGGTCAGGGGTGTGTTTTCCCAAAGCATGGTACGCTAACTCTGGTCGGTTAGTTCCATTGAACTCTATTGGTACTTGCCACCATAGCTGTTTTTGGGAAACGCTCCCCAGACTAGTTCTTAAGTCTTAACATAGAGCAGGGGTGTCCAAACTCGGTCCTGGAGGGCCGATGACCTGTAGAGTTTTGCTCCAACTTGCCTCAACACACCTGCTGGTAAGTTTCTAGTATGCCTATAAGACCTTGATTAGCTGGTTCAGGTGTGTTTAATTAGGGTTGGAGCTAAACTCTGCAGGACACCGGCCCTCCAGGACCGAGTTTGGGCACCCCTGACATAGAGGCTAAGTTTATAGCTTCTGCATTATGATGTTCTGAAGAGAAGATAACATCTAGATAGATAAAGGCATCTTGCTTTGTGAATGGGATTTTCCCACCATACAGACAAATGTTATAAAACAAAAATGATCATAAATTCACAAAGTTATAAATTGTAAGAAATACAGAAGCTAAAATTTGAGAGCAAAAACTAGGTTCTGAATATGAACAAATGTTGCTGTCCATTACGCAGTCAGTCGCAGAGGTTCTTATGAGGAGATTCGGTGCGGTGGGTCTCACAGGTGTACAAAAAACCTGATTTATTTAAGTTTTTTTATGTTTTTGAAAGAAGCCCATCTGCTCACCACAGCTGAACAAACCTGACCTGCTCCTCAGCATCCAGCTGCACAAGAGATCCGTCCAGATTCAGACAAGTGATAGATTTAATATAGATTCTATTGAGTTTGGTTGATTTTCATTTTATTTTATTTTCCACTGTTTTCTGTGATGCTTTCGTTCAGCTGATTAGTAGGAACTTGTTCTGTTGTTTAGTTTTGTTCATGCTCATGATGATAATACTGTATGTAAAGTGGTTTGTGTTATTTTCATTAATCTCAAGTAGGGCAGAGCGAGTGGAAATATGTGAACCTCTAGAGACGGTATTTGGACTCTTCAATCACATGAATAAATGTAGGATGACCATACGTCCTCTTTCTCCCAGACCTGTCAAAAACACATTGGGTGCCGTCAGAAATTTATAATCATCACAATAATCCACAAGTAATCCACTGCACTCCAGTCCATCAGTTAACATCTGGAGAAGACAAAAGCTGAAACAAATCCAGCATTAAGATGCTTTTAACTAAATACCATAGAGTCCATAATTCATAATAACTCTTCCTGCAGTGAAAACAAAAATTATCATAAATTCACAAAGTTATAAATTGTAAGAAATACAGAAGCTAAAATTTGAGAGCAAAAACTAGGTTCTGAATATGAACAAATGTTGCTGTCCATTACGCAGTCAGTCGCAGAGGTTCTTATGAGGAGATTCGGTGCGGTGGGTCTCACAGGTGTACAAAAAACCTGATTTAAGTTTTTTTATGTTTTTGAAAGAAGCCCATCTGCTCACCACAGCTGAACAAACCTGACCTGCTCCTCAGGATCCAGCTGCACAAGAGATCCGTCCAGATTCAGACAAGTGATAGATTTAATATAGATTCTATTGAGTTTGGTTGATTTTCATTTTATTTTATTTTCCACTGTTTTCTGTGATGCTTTCGTTCATCTGATTAGTAGGAACTTGTTCTGTTGTCTAGTTTTGTTCATGCTCATGATGATAATGCTGTATGTAAAGTGGTTTGTGTTATTTTCATTAATCTCAAGTAGGGCAGAGCGAGTGGAAATATGTGAACCGCTAGAGAAGGTATTTGGACTCTTCAATCACATGAATAAATGTAGGATGACCATACGTCCTCTTTCTCCCAGACCTGTCAAAAACACATTGGGTGCCGTCAGAATGAGAGAAACATCACAGTAATCCACAGCACTCCAGTCCATCAGTTAACATCTGGAGAAGACAAAAGCTGAAACAAATCCAGCATTAAGATGCTTTTAACTAAATACGTGGCTGGATGTTGACGTGAGAGACAACAGCAGATGCACTTTTTCACTGGAGGAAGAGTTATTATTGATTATGGAATTAGAAGTCAACATAACTGTAAAAATAGCATAATAAACAGCACTAGCACTAAAAGTAAATGTTTAATTGAGGCTTCCAAAAGTTTGTTTTAGGAGGTTGTAGAGAGGTGCAGTCATGCTTAATAAAGCAATTATTGTCTTCATAAAGTCGAACACTGTAGTTTCAAACTTTAGAGCACATTTACTGAAAAACGATGGGATCGACCGACTCACCATATCACCATGATGGATGGGGACGATTAAAACATGAAAGTCTCAATGCTCAAATCGGATTCAGAGAAGGGCTGGATAGTTGGATATATCAGCGATGATTGATAAGCTCCTGATCGCTGCACCTTTATTATTGATGACATATGGAAATGATGATTTGAGCGGGGAGGCTTCACATACTCTGAAGACCACCAATAGATTTACAAAGAATTGTTTTTTATTTTGACATGTTTTGCACACACTCATCACTATTTTTGTGTATATGCAGAGATGTACATGCGCATAAAAGACTTCATTATCAGGAAAAGATGCAAGTGAGCTGTTTCAATAACCAAAACACAAACAACAGCTGGACAAAACCGTGGGGAAATCTCTTTTCTTTTTTCTCTCTCCAAATTTCAACGCGATACAGAATGTGTAAGGCTCACATGTTCAGACTGACTAATAGCTGTTGACTGAGAGACTCTGAAGACGTCGTAACGACAGACAGTGGGCTTTGGTCTTCAGTCTGGTGTTTGCTGTTTTACGGACCGCTAAATTAGGAGCACTGGAATTAGAGGAATGTACACTTGTAAAGAGCTTAGTGGCATCCAAATGGAAGATAACTTCTAATAATAATAAATAAATGAATAATGGAATAACCCTGATCATTAAATTAGCTAATAAGTCAATAACATTCTAGCAAACAGACAAGAACCTAATATAGGCCGAACAGACGGACTGAAAAGGCCTGCAAAAGGGGGATGTGAAATGCATCATGTTTTAATGCCAGAAAACGAAAGCGAGAATAAACGAACATCTCTGCAGATTCGTCCCCATTCATATCCCCTCGTGAAATACAAAGATAAAGTTCTGATATCATTCAAATCTTATTGGTTTCTCTACACTTCAAACCATTGCTTAAATAGTTTCACATCTAGTTTTCTTCAACATTTACACTACTATTGAAATACTTTGGGATGGAAAGGAACTGAAAAGCTAGATGATCCGTAGAGTCGGCCCAAGACTGTACGACGTGCTCGCTTTGATCGAGCGAGACACATTTGTAGAGCTTTACTACATAGACAAGCATCCTATGGTGATTATTGTGCAGGAGGTTTGTATGCAAAATGTCTTAAAGGGCCTGGGAATGTCAATGCTGGGAGACCGGCACACAGCATGCATGGCTTTTAGCTGGAAATCCAATTCCCTTCGGACCCTTAAAAGGAAAGGTGAATGGACACGGGTGACCTTTGCCCTCCTCGGCCCGCTGGAGAACGAATGAAGCATGCATGCTAGCTGGAACCGCGTCCGCTTTTGGAGGACGACTCGATTTGGTTGTAGCTCTGCCACGTTTCTAAAGGCACACCAACTGTTGACATTCACAGCCAAAGGGGGAATTACTCGTTTAATATTCTTTCATCGAGTAAAGCTCATGCTCGGTCTCGGCGCCCGTGGCTCGTTCGGAGCGTTTAGTGCCAGCTAGTTTTCAACGAAGAAGAACAAATAGTGAAGGAATGATGGGCTGTCCTCATCTGCTGGAGACGAGCGATCACATGGAGATGTTGCTGTACAGCTGCTCGATTGCCCTGCTGAAATACTCCTTCAGCTCCGGTCTCTTGGATTTTAAAGTGGGGGTCAGCAATCCGTTTTGTATGGAGAACATTTCTTTATGGATGTGGATGTCTTTAACCTGTCAGGAGTCAAAGAAAGCATCGTGAATTATCAAGCAGCACTCCACATGCTCACCCTTAAAAACAAAGCTGCTTCTTTTAGCATTCACGCTTCCATGCATGGAAACTTTCCACTGCACAAAAGATCATTCTTTAGAGTAATCAAATCTTCCTCACACTAGGGAAAGGTTCACTAAAAATGTTTTCTCTGTGGCATTGCTGTGAAAAACGTAAAAACGCAATGTAATAACTACATTGGCTTAAGCATACTTTAATATATTATGAGATGTGATACAAAGTGTGCTTTCTGCTTCTGTGCCTTTAGAAAATTGTCCTCCAAAAAATGATCGTGATTTTTGTGTTGCTTTAATTGATGTCATCGTGCAGAAAAGCCACATCATGGATATTTTACATTAAAACTCCTTGACAAAAAACATGTAAAGCCTGTTGAAATACTATGATATTCAAGGAAAAAAAACAGTTTCTACATTTCATTTATTTTTGCTGTGTGCTTAACCATATTTTGGTGAAAATTGTGTACCCGTAAGTGACAAAATCTCCAAAAACTCCCGATTTTACATTAAAACTCCTTGACAAAAAACATGTAAAGCCTGTTGAAATACTATGATATTCAAGGAAAAAAAACAGTTTCTACATTTCATTTATTTTTGCTGTGTGCTTAACCATATTTTGGTGAAAATTGTGTACAAAATCTCCAAAAACTCCCTTTTGGGGACATCCTCGTTTGTAAAAATCGTATAAAGTAAATAAAGTTTTCTGTTTGGATAAGTGTGTGGTTTAGAGTTGAATTATAATATTTATAACTAGCTGTATATAAACACAATCGAAGTCCAGGGATTTGATGCAATGTCCCAATTTAGACGAGTAAATGTGTGTGTTTCTATGACTTCTGAATGATGCCATTACAGTAAATTTGCCCTTTCCACTGAACACAAGAATGCACAGTAATCTTAGATAACTCAGAGGATTTCATCTAACTCAAATGAGATGCGTTTGAAGAAGCACATGAGCCAGAGATGAATGATGACGACTAGAAGATGTTTCAATAAAGAAAGAAGACCTTCATTAATCAGCAATGACACACCTCACCTTTAAATTCAAAACGAAGTGTTTCCTTAACTAATCTGTGCTATTACTAGTCCTAAAACATGCTTGGCAATAGTGAGGAGTCATTTTCACGCCAGAGTGTTTAGTAAGCAGTAACTGTGTTTATTACTGCAGCTGTCGATGGCTAATGCTGTGAACGCACCTGTTCGAATGAATGGAGGCCACTGGCTTTTCCCAAGCGCACCATGTCATCCAGAATGGCTTTCTTCAGTTCCTTCAGACACGAAACAGAGACCATCACACGACGAGAAATACACTTTTTTTCTTGCTATATATGTGCTATATAATTCTCTACTTGCTTTTGTTGAAAGTCAATCTTAGAGTAACTCCACTCTCTATTGTGCAAGTATGTAACATGGTTAAATTTGTGCTTCATGTGTTTGTTGAATGTGCACTACGTGATAAATGTACATTTCATTGTACGTGTGTGTAATGACAATAAAAGGCATTCATCAAGCCTTACTTTATTTCCACACAGCTCATCATAGCATCCCTCGAAGCCTTTCTTCTGAGCCCACGAGGGTAAGACCTCCGGATCCGGGACGATGATTCCCACCAGACAGGACTGCACACACAATCATCAGCGTTATGAACCGGGCAGCGCTGTGAACTCGTGCTTCGCTGCAGGAACGTGAGCCACTGACCTGCAGGCTGTCTCCGTGCACATAGAGCTGAGACACGGGCTCGCTGCGGATGTAGATGCTCTCGATCTTCTCCGGGGAAATATATTCTCCTTGAGCTAACTTGAAGATGTGCTTCTTCCTGTCGATGATCTTCAGCGTGCCGTTCTGATGGAAACAAACGAAAGAAGCCGTCATTCAGCTGTCTGAGCGATCGGGATGGTGCAAACTGTTCTTTACACTGGGTTTTGGGAGGGTTTTAATCTGTATACTCAGTATAACTGGTGCTCTGGTTAAAGATTCAAGAAGCACAAGGTCTCAGTCGAGCAATATCTGTCAGATTTCTATATGGATAGATCATAACATCAGACACAGCGGCGCGAGGGTCGTCATATAAAGGCAGACGTACCGACAGCCACTTGCCAATGTCTCCCGTGTGAAGCCATCCGTCTGCATCCAGCGTCTCAGCCGTCCTCACGGGATCCTTCAGATAACCCTTGAAGACGTTTGGGCCTTTCACACAGATCTGAATCAAGAAAGAAACAATACAGGAGATGATTGATTTTGAGTGTTGTTTGCAGATCTCTTATAGAGACCCTCGTATGGAGTTTTCCGTTCTTCCTCACAGTCTCACTTAGAGACAGAAGCATAGTGCTGTGAAAGGATTTGTTCAGCCATTTACGGTTCAGAATTTCACGATATTTGAAAATCAATATTTCATAGTTTATAACTTACAACACTCAAGGCTTATGAAATTACTTTTTACATCATGCATTAGACATTTTAGAGAAATTGTGTTTACATTTCTGCAAATATAAGTTGATTTCTACTTTTCGGTTTCCTGATTGTAAAGTAGGTTTTTAGAGGATTTGTGCGCAGGCCGTGTTAACAAACCTCTCCCTCTCCTTTAGCAGCAAAGTAGTTCTTCTCAGCCACATCCAGCAGTTTAATGAGATTACAGGGCAGCGGAGCGCCTACATGACCTGCAGAAACAAACAGGAGGAGAATAACTGCATCACAGTGATATGCTGTAGCACGCCGTCCAGTCTTCAGCAGAATCTCCACAGCATGGACGAACACGGAGAGAAACCTGCACAAACATTTCAGTACAGAGCTGGAAAATGATTGTGTTACCATATTACTCCTGAAAACTCTTTACATGCTGTCCTGTTATCAAATAAATACACATATAACACAGTCCCCCAGGCAAAGAGTAATACCATGTATTATCTGTTGTATTTCAACCGCTTCAACAAACATAAATCCAGACCTGCAGCTGCCGGTGAGTGTTACGGATGACTCTATAAACGACTGTTTAAAGGAGATAATGACTGAAAAACACAATGACCGACTGTAAATGACATCACTACTGACAGCAAAACTCAAATAAAGTGTCATGTAAAAACCAGCCACAAGAGGGAGAGCTGTGCGTACAGATGGCACAATCAAGACATTTTCTCACAGTTGCTTCACACTGCTGCACATGGTGTCAGTCTTTGGAGGATATAATCTTGATCGGTCAGTCTACTCACACTATACCGTTCATACGCATGTGAATGCTGGAGACGGGAAAAACAAGCTCGCTGCGCTCCAAAGTTCAGGTTTGCTGAACTCTGACCTGTGAATTGATATCATGTGGAGACGTGTGACCTCTGACCCGCATTAAAACAAACCTTCAGTCTGCAGGATTGCAGGATGCAGTGCACATTTTTCTGCCTTAAGGTTTTTGTTATGTAACTGTTTAATAAAAGCAATAATAAGCATATTGAGTGTGTTACAAAAGACGGATCAGCTGTTATCAGTATCAGGACGTGTTAGAATAATAATCACACCACACTGAAATAAATCATACTCTAATTTGATTGATTAACATTGGTTCCCGGTTTCGTTCAAACATTTAAATTGGATTTAATATTAATTATTATGATTAAATCAGGTAAAAATAGCTCTTTAAGGTAACAGTTGGAGGTTAGCAGTATTTACAGTGTAGTTTGTGCGGTCAGTAAAGTTAAAAAGTATTAATAATAGTATAATTAATAATAATACAGTTTTTTTCAACTGCTTACACACAGAATCTTTACTCGTCACAGTTTCTGAAAGCTGACACTCAAACAGCAGAAGCACACACCAAATCTACAAAACCATACACTAATTCTCAGACTTTGACTCCGTTTTCAATTTCATAAAACACTTTTTGTAAAACACAACACACAGTTCTCTGTGTCACACACACAAATCTAACAGGAAGTGTCTTGATTTCCTTTTTCAAACTCAACCAATCAGAAAGCCTCACTAATTCATCACTAACTCCTCACGTGTGCTTCACTGAACAGGCTTTAGATCAGGCCTATAAACACACATCTACACAACTACACATGCTTCATGTATTTCTTTCTTTCGTACTGTGTGATACTGTATTCACAAACACAAATGCTTACAGTAAAAAAAATTGGTTTTGCTTGATGTGTTTGTGATATGTTGAATGCAGTGCTTCATTTTGCAAGAGATGAGAGGCATTTTGCATTTTGTGTGTGCAATTCTTGGATTTATGTGTAAAGTTTTTTAAAAAAGGCAAAGTTTTGAAAATGTGTGTGAGCAGTTGAAAAAAAACTGTAATAACATCATCAATGATATTTCTTTTAGTTTTTTGTTTCTTTGAGGAGTGTTATTTTCTTTTAGACTGAACAAAACAGAACCAGAATTCGATTAGACCCATATAAATCAGTACAGTAGTTCAGATGTGCGAGTGTTGATTATGCTGATGAGAGTCTCACCGGCCGTCCAGTCTCCAGGAGTGGTGTAGGTGCATCCGGCGGTGCACTCCGTCTGACCGTACGCCTCGTACACCTGACAGCCCAGCGCCGCTCGCAAGAAGTCCAGCACGGTCGGAGACGCAGGAGCCGCTCCGGTGATGATCATCCGTAACCTGCCGCCCAGACTGGCCTGTGAGGAGATCAGACGAGCAGTCAGACAACAGACGAGCGGTCAGAGATCAGACGAGCGGTCAGACATCAGACGAGCGGTCAGAGATCAGACGAGCGGTCAGACATCAGACGAGCGGTCAGAGATCAGACGAGCGGTCAGACAACAGACGAGCGATCAGAGATCAGACGAGCGATCAGACATCAGACGAGCGGTCAGAGATCAGACGAGCGATCAGACATCAGACGAGCAGTCAGAGATCAGACGAGCGGTCAGACAACAGACGAGCGATCAGAGATCAGACGAGCGATCAGACATCAGACGAGCGGTCAGAGATCAGACGAGCGATCAGACATCAGACGAGCAGTCAGAGATCAGACGAGCGGTCAGACAACAGACGAGCGATCAGAGATCAGACGAGAGATCAGAGATCAGACGAGCGGTCAGACATCAGACGAGCAGTCAGAGATCAGACGAGCGGTCAGACATCAGACGAGCAGTCAGAGATCAGACGAGCGGTCAGACATCAGACGAGCAGTCAGAGATCAGACGAGCGGTCAGACATCAGACGAGCAGTCAGAGATCAGACGAGCGGTCAGACATCAGACGAGCAGTCAGAGATCAGACGAGCGGTCAGACATCAGACGAGCAGTCAGAGATCAGACGAGCGGTCAGACATCAGACGAGCAGTCAGAGATCAGACGAGCGGTCAGACATCAGACGAGCAGTCAGAGATCAGACGAGCGGTCAGACATCAGACGAGCAGTCAGAGATCAGACGAGCGGTCAGACATCAGACGAGCAGTCAGAGATCAGACGAGCGGTCAGACATCAGACGAGCAGTCAGAGATCAGACGAGCGGTCAGACATCAGACGAGCAGTCAGAGATCAGACGAGCGGTCAGACATCAGACGAGCAGTCAGAGATCAGACGAGCGGTCAGACATCAGACGAGCGATCAGACAACAGACGAGCGGTCAGAGATCAGGCGAGCGGTCAGACATCAAACGAGCGGTCAGAGATCAGACAAGAGATCAGAGATCAGACGAGCGGTCAGACATCAAACGAGCGGTCAGAGATCAGGCGAGCGATCAGACATCAGGCGAGCGATCAGACATCAGATGAGCGATCAGAGACCAGTGCTGCTCATCACGCACCTGGATCTTGTGGAAGAAGATCTTGTCCCAGACGCTGTCGCAGCGGATCACGCCGCGCTTCACCTCCAGCCCTTTCCTCTTCGCAGCGAAGTTCAGCAGCCAGCGCTTCAGAGAGGTGTTGGCCTGACTGAAGATCTGAGCGACGACACGCATGTGCTCAGTGTTTTATGGGTTCATTCCATCGGTGTAATGGTTTTTCTACTGTCCAGACTGTATTTTCTATCCCCTAACCCTAAACCTACCCCTCACACAAAACTACAGGCATTATTTCTACATTCTCAAAAACACTGTTTAGTTTGCTTTCAAGCCATTTGGTTCACAGGATCACAGGAAGTGTAAACCTCATAAACCACGTTCATGTTGCAATACTCATGTTATTATACACATTTGTGTCCTCATAAACCATATAAATGCCTGAAAGGCCTGTAGACAGACACACACACAATGTCAAGAAACTCAAAATATGAACATATTTATAATTCGATATACACCATTTTTATAAACAGCAAATATTGTCTGAATCGAGCAATAAGCCATGAGTCGCTGATCAAAAACACCTGAAAACACACGATGAAGGTCAGAGCGCTGCACATCTGCTGTGCAACCTAAAACATCTAAATTAACAAGTTAATTTAAGTCAAAAATATGATTTAAAAATATGATTTAACACCTAAATACTTCAGTTTATTCCAACAAAACTTATTTTAGCCCTTGTTACACTGCTGGTGTCTGTGTGCATGATTACTCTTCAGGAATACGTTTGTGGATCAGTCAGTTTGTGCAGGACTTTCATATGCAGACAGACAGAAAGCGGTCAGCGTCTCACCTTGTCATACATGCGGTTCAGGAGCCGCGGCACCACTGGAAATATGGTGGGCCGGAGAGCCTTCATGTCGTCCGAAAGCAGACGGATATCACCTTGGAAAAAGCCAATCCTCCCGCCGTGGCAGATGACCACTGCCTAGAGATCAGGAACAGCAGACTGAGCGATCAGAAATACTGTGAAATATTTGACTGCACTGACAAACTCCAACTAAACTGATCTGACATAATGACTCTATTGCCTTATGTAGAGCCGAAAATAAAACAAAAGTCTTATAATGGATGAATTGTGCAAGATTAACATAAATATTAATATTAATTTAATATTAAAATATGAATATTTTCCTGTTTATTACTGTGAACCCAGCTGACAAAAATGCGTTCTAGGAACATATATATACATATATATATGAAACAGTCTGTGCTGTATAATGCACTACACAGATACAGTATCTGACTGTCCGTAATACATATGTTTCATAACAGTGTAACAGAATCACAGTGTGATGATGGAGATGTTCTCTCAGATCAGTCCAGCTGTTTAAAGTGCATTAAGGAAACAAACTGGTGGCTCCTTTAAGAGACAGAGATCAGTGGGTCATATAAGGACTGCAGCGTCTGAGAAAGAGGAAGCGTGAGTTTCTGTGTTTGTGTAGGTGTGGTTTCATGTCCTCGTTAGTGTGCACTGCTGACACAGAGCCAAACTGTAACCTGAGCAGAGCTGGAGTTTGTGCTGGAGGGTGTGTGTGTGTGTGAGCTCTAAATGAGCCGAGCTGAGCTACTGCATCAGAATATGTCACAGCAAACACAGGCAGACGTTTTCTCACATGTGTCTCACCTCAATCAGCCTCTCGAACATGTGAGCAAGAGGCAGGAAGGAAATGAGAACATCGTCTTGGTTTGGAAAGATCACCTTCTGCAGAGGCACAAATAGAAAGCGCAGCGGTTAGTTAGATAAGTGCCAGTCAGCTCAATGCAGAGGGGATTCGAACACAAACCACTCACATCGGTCACTTTCAAGAAGCCGCCGAAGTCTGCGATGATGTTCCCGTGGGTCAGCATCACTCCCTTCGGGTTTCCTGAAGGACAAACACACACACGTTACTGTGAGCTAGATCAGATCGGCTCACTGATGAGGAGGTGACCTCTGCTTCACATCAGCTGCTGATTTTACTGAACAAGAGCAGAACTAATCAAGTGACTCTCGAATAGATTAAAGCCACTTGGCTGTCAAATCTTGCTCTATGGCATTACAGATATAACAGCCCATACGGCAAAAATATATATTTCAAAACAAACAAAAAATGGCCAAAATATATTTACGTAAACATTTTCTAACAATATAGATTTTGGCCACGTTTTGGTAATTTAAAAAAATATATATTTAAAAATATATATATTTGCCCTCAATATATTTCATGTCACCTTATTTTGTTGTCTACAACATGTGTGAACACTTTTCAATTAATATCAGCAAGAACATGCTTCAAAAATTTTTATATTACAATATATGTATATATATATATATATATATATATACATATATAAAAATATTAAAATGAATATAAAAGTACATAAAATAAAAATATATATATTTTTTATATTCCCCAAGTTTAGAATTGACTGTAATCAAGATTGGAAATGCATTTTCTTACCACTGAAATGTATTTTGATATACAGTATAAAGGTTGAAACTAAATATAGTTTCAAACATGTATTTCATTGAGCTTCGACATCTTCAACACTGCATGTTTTGTTTTAAAAGCGTGGAACTGCACTCAGACAGAAGTGAGAGATCAGTAATTCTTCCTCGTTCACTCCCTTCAGTTCTTCTGAAAAATACTCTGAATTCTTGAGATAAACAAAAGACAGCTCAGACGAGAAGCTCTGTGTCGACTCACCTGTGGTTCCGCTGGTGAAGCACACGATGGACAGGTCATCTGGTCCAGGTGGCTAAAGGAACACATGAACACATGAACACATGAACACATGAACACATGAACATATAAACACATGAACACATGAACATATGAACATATGAACACATGAACACATAAACACATGAACACATGAACATATAAACACATGAACACATAAACACATGAACACATGAACATATGAACACATGAACACATGAACATATAAACACATGAACACATGAACACATGAACACGTGAACACGTAAACACGTGAACACATCAACACATCAACACATGAACAAATGAACACATGAACACATGAACACATGAACACATGAACATATGAACATATGAACACATGAACACATGAACACATGAACATATGAACACATGAACACATGAACACATGAACATATAAACACATGAACACATGAACATATAAACACATGAACAACATGAACACATGAACACATGAACACACATCATCAAGATCAAACGACAGCATCAATCTGAGTCAACTGCACAGGGTTAAACAGTCTCAGCTTGGGAAAAGTCCTGAAGTTCTTCACAGACAGACTAGCAGCTCGGGGAACATTTAATCAGAGGAAAACTACAGTCTGATCACTGGGCACCAGGTGTCACCTGACTAACCACCTGACCAATCCTGCGCAGTGAGTGAATCACATGACACAACATTTGTGACAAATAACAGTGACAGTGAAAACGTATGCTTTCATAATGCTACAGTTCTTACAAACTACACTGACAAAACGTAACATCTAAATGAACTGGTTTTATTCAAGTCAAAATCATTATTTAACTTCACTGACTCGACTGAAATACATTAACTTACACCAACAAAACTACTTTTATGGGTTAAATCAAGTAGAAATCGCAGGTTACCACTTTTTACACTGTATGTTTTTATAGGATGTTTGTTGAAGAAATCTTCCAGAGAATGAATCTCTCAGCATAAGTCTGCTCTGAGAAGCGTCTGTGTTTGTGATCGACAGTGCTAGTGAACCATTGCTTGCACACTTACCACAGGTTTCCTGTAGTTCTCTCGACCCAGAGCCTAAAACAACAGCGAGACGTCAGTCAAGACTTACAGTAGACCCACTGGAGTCATCATACACTCTCATTTGACAAACCAGGCCTCAGTTCTTACAGTTTTTCTCGATTGCTAACACACTATGACTGATTAATTTGGCCCAATTTTCCAAACCATTCATACAGTTCTCGAAACAAAGACACACCGCGAAAAATGCTTTTCTTACTTAGATTTTTTGTCTTGTTTTCAGTCAAAATATCTAAAAAATTTTCTAGACAAGTAAAAATTATTGTCTTGTTTTCAGAAAAAACAAGTCAAAATTAAGTGACTTTTTGCTTATTGTCACCTATATCACCCAATATAGCTGAATTGCTTCATGAATTGTGTTAGCAATCGAGAAAAACTGTAAATAAAAACAGTAGTGGTTAGGGGAACAGATTAAAATAAGAAATATGATTTCAGCTTACATTTAGATTTTGACATGTTTTAGCATATTTTAAACCTTGTTTTGTCTCATTTTAAATGACTTTAAGGCGTCTTGTGTGCTCTGTGGTGATCCGTCTCACCTCCACGTCTCGGAGCGACCGCACGAGCACGCCGCTCTTCTGAGCCTCCTCCAGCAGCGGAGCGTCAAACACATCCATGAGGACGATGGTCTTCAGGCCCGGCGTCTCTCCTCTCTGAACATTCTCCAGGAGCACCGCGGCTTTCTCCGCTTTATCACAGATCACTGTGGAGATCTCAGCTGAAAAACAGTGTTCACAGAGCGAATACATACAAATAAATAAACCCTTTTTAGCATCTGTATGATTCCACGAAGAACCTTCAACGTCCACGGAACCACTAAAGGTTCTTAATAGTGGAAAAAGATTATTAAAATACACAAAGAAAAAACGTGGCTCTATTACAGTTTCAACTGCTTACACACAGAATCTTTACTCGTCACACAGTTTCTGAAAGCTGACACTCAAACAGCAGAAACCAAATCTGCAAAACCATACACTAATCTCAGACTTTGACTCCGTTTTCAATTTCATAAAACACTTTTTGCAAAACACAACACACAGTTCTCTGTGTAACACACAAATCTAACAGGAGTTAATATGATGGCAAAGGTGTTTGCAAATGTTAGCTTTTGAGATGTGTTTGGGATATTTTTAATGCAGCGCTTCATTCTGCAAGAGATGCAAGGTATTTTGCATTTTGTGTGCCGTTCTTGCATTTGTGTGTAAAGTTTTGAAAACAAGAGGCAAAGTTGGAAAGTGTGTAAGCAGCTGAAAATAACTGTAAGGCTTGATCACTGAAAGGTTGTGGTTCTTCTAGCGTTTGGGATCACCTCTGTTGATGATGTAGCGGATGGCGTCGGGTCCGAGCGTGTCGTACAGCGGCACCACAACCATCGAGTACGTGTAGCACGCCAGCTCAGAGATGATCCACTGCGAACGCATGACACGGAGCAGATCATCAGCTTCTGTTCATGGCTTCTGGCAGACTCGTGTTTGGGTGTCTGGTGCTTTACCTCAGGCCGGTTCTGTGCAAACACCCCGATGAACTGATCTGGACTGGGCTGACATCCCTGAGACAGCAGACCGGAGCCCAGGAGCTCGGCGCGGCTCAACACCTGCGGACACAAACACAATAATCATCACTGTGAGTTATGAACAATTACTGCCGTTTATTCACAGTTACTTCTGATGTATTTGCATTCAATTCTGTATAGACTTTAGAACAATTCTATATAAAAAAAAACAGTCGATTTAACGTGAAAAATTAACATCTAATGTTAAGATGTATGTTTTTAATGTTTGTTTCTCCCTTGAAATACTTTGGTTAATGATGTATGCAGTTATACACTGCAAAAAATGCTTTTCTTACTTAGATTTTTTGTCTTGTTTCCAGCCCAGATATCAAACAATTCTTAAATCAAGAAGGATTTTCTAGACAAGTTTAATTATTGTCTTGTTTTCAGAAAAAAATTTTTTTAGTTAATATTAAGTGAGTTTTTGCTTAGAACAAGCAAAATAATCTGCTAATCTTATTTCAAACAGAAAAAAAAAAAAGATTATTTAGCTTGTTTCAAGCAAAAAAAACACCTAATTTTGACTTGTTTTTTTTTTCTGAAAACAAGACAATAATTTTTATTTGTCTAGAAAATCCTTCTTGATTTAAGAATTGTTAGATATGTGGGCTGGAAACAAGACAAAAAATCTAAGTAAGAAAAGCATTTTTGCAGTGTATATTATTTATTTGAAAGAGCAAAGAGATTAAAAGAGCAGTTTCATGTTTATGCTGGTTCTGCTCAACTGGTCGAGGTTGATATGAGCTTTAGAAAGTAAGCACGTAATGCAGTACTTATTAAAGAGTACAGTAATCTAATGACTCTGTTGGATTAGTACTCGCAGCTAGTAATGAATTGCTTCTCTAGAGTAATTCAACACTGCTAGCCAGACGGGATTTAAACTTTGCCGTCTGAAATCACAAGTTTGCTTTGAAGGCGAATGAAATGTAAAAGGTCCTGATTCTAACACAAACCCACAGAAACAGAAGCTGCTGCTCTCTGTATTGTTTTCTGCTGTCTCCTTTCACGCGAGTAAACGGCACGAGCTTATTTCACAATATTACATGTAAAGATCAGACAAGGCCCATCAGGACAGAGGAGAAGCAGCAGGTGTGGACGGGGATGTGTCTGCGTGTGAACGGGTCTTATACTCACCTCTCTGTAGGACAGCCAGGTGTAGGGCTGATTGGGGAGTCTGGAGCCTAAAAACGGCCCGTCACCTGCTCAAAACACCAGAGAGACGTCAGGTCTTTCACACTCATCCTCTTCATCTCATACAGCCTCTGTTCTCTTCTCTCCAGTGCTTCGAGAGCAAGAGGATCTCAGAGAAATCACCAGCCAAAGGACTGCAACGATTACCATTAACTTAGTGTTTCTGAAAGAGTCTCTCCTGCTCACCAAGGCTGCTTTTACATGATCAAGAAATATTGTTACAAGAACAACAACTGCTTTTTATATTGTAAGTGAAATTTAAATTTTAGAGCATTATTAATAACTATATTTATTTATACCAAACACACCTCTGAGTATAACTCAGCTAATGTGTGTCCAATATGACAATATAACCAGGAACAGACACTGAGGCCTGAGCTGTGCTCAGCTGTTACCCATAATGCACTGCGCTTTGTTCATCGGGTGATTTGCATGACTCTGATGGGTTGTGCCGCTCACCGGTGATGTGCAGGCCGCGCTGGAACACCTCGTACATGGTCTTGGCGTCCTCGTGATAATACGAGAGCAGCGTGGAGCTGTCGCCCATCATGGACCTTCGAGCGCCGTCCTCCATCTGGAACACATCTTCTGTAAATCCCAGGCAATAAGCGTATGAAAGGTGCATTGTTGAATTGGTCGTCTAGTACTTGTTTGCATTCGTGTTTGCATTCATATTTGCATTCTGCTGGATTGTGTGCAACGAGAACGTGCTCGCTTCAGTGCTTTCATCTGTGATCATAACACTGTTGTTTAAAACCAAACATCAGTCTGCATGCGCAGAGCTTTCCACAGGCTTATAGTGAAGGAAATATTACCACTGTCATCTCCTGAACCACATTCGAAGACAGAGTATGAGAATATATACAATATGCATATATATATAGATGTGGTGGTGATGTTGTTGTTGTGGGACGCTACAGTTGGCCAGCTGCTGAGAATGCTTGGCTTATGCAAAACCTCAGATCTGAGCCGGATTTGAACACACAGGACTCAGACAAAAGGAGATCATCACAGGACACAGAACCAGTCTGAATATGCACTCGCGTTTAGTTTGATGATTTATTGTTGAAGTGATAAAAGCATAACGTTGGAGCTGCATGAATGAAGCCTCTCTCTGTGTGAGTCTCTTGTGCACACTAGTGAGGGAGGAACTCATGTGATGAACACTTCAAGATGATTAATAACTAATGCTCAGTCATTTAGATCAGAGCTTCTCAGCCTTTATTTCTCCAAAGCTATTTACTGTCAAAAATGATAAAGCATAATTAGAAATCATTTAAAATAATTCAATTTCATAACCCCAGTAACTGAATGTTCTACATGTTTATGTTTTTTATTACCATTAAATTAACATGACTTCTAGTTTTATTATTTTTACCAGTATTATTTTAGTATCATTTACAGATGATTATAGTCAATATATTGAATTAGTTTTCAGTTTGTTTTTAGTTAAAGTTTTTGTCATTTCTTAGTTAATTTTTTCTTTTCTTTTTTTTGAGTACATCAAGTTAAACTAAATGAAAATGATGAACAAGAGAAATGTTTCCTTGGAAGCTAGCTGAAATAAAATGAGTGTTTTTTGTTTGTTTGTTGGTTTCTGTTTTTTCGGTTAACAATAATTGTATTTAAAAGTAAACAAATTTTACCATTTTAGTTTTAGTTAATGATAATAATTCAGTTTTTTTTTCACAATGAGCAATTTACATTTATATAAATCTTTTCCAGGTCTAGAACCACATGTTTAAAAGTCCAGAATATGCAGGCTGTCCACAAGCATCTGGTTCTTCATCAAAAACAGAACTTGTTGAGGGAACGAAATTTAAAAAGAAATATGATTTCGGCTTACATCTTGATTTTTAGCTGCTTTCATTTATTTTAAACCTTGCTTTGTCTTATTTTAAATAATATAAAATCATCTTTGGGCCCTGCGTGAGATCCGGAGGGTTTTAAGATGACGTCTGTTTGAGCAGCAGCATGATTCTCATCACACGTTTGATTGGTCGGCTCTGATCACCTGATCCGAGGTTTACCTGCACTTCCTGTGACTGCAGCCGGAGGTCGCAGGGCGGCGTGATGGGCCGCGGCCGAGTGGAGATCCAGTAGGCCAGCACAGCGGTCAGAGCACCCAGACCCAGCAGAGCCGAGGTGGGCAGAGAGCGGAGGAACTGACCCAGATCATCCAGCTCAGGCAGCTGAAGACCCAGCAGCAGATCCCGAGACTGCATCTTCTCCACAAGCGTGGAGCTGAGCTCTGACACACACACACACACACACACAGATTAGACCAGATCCAACATACATGATCATGTGTGTGTAAAGATAAATCTGAAAGCCCAGAGTCACAGTTTGTCTGGACATCAACACAAACA